TTTTCCCCGATATTTTCCTTTTGGAATATAACACTGTAATTTATCATGGAAGTCTTGTTATTTCAAGTTTTGTATTTTTCTTTGTAACCTTCTTTAACTTAGAAGATTCCACCTTAATAAAAATAGAACACTTATTCAATAAGAATACAAAATTATTTTATTCTTTCAATGTATTCTAACTATAATACATTAATAGTAAATATTATTATTAAATTGATTTGTTATGGAAATAAAGAAATAGTTGATCAAATTTCTTAAATATCACTTCACTACTTCTTCTTATTGAATTAAAACAAACTATATAAAACTCAATAAATACATTTAAAATAGTTATAATGACATCATGTATCAATAAGTAGATTATTCATTAATCTATGAATTTATTTTCGTTGTTTTTTAAACTTCAAAGAATTTAAATAATTTTATTTTTGTTATATAATTATTATGTTATTTAAAAAAAAAAAGAAAAACATAAAATTAAAAACTCAAAAATCTGATATAAATCACAAACACGAAGAATGAACAAGATAGATGAACGTTTATTTATCACTGATGAAGAGTTACTTGCAGATGCACAAAATATTGGTATTGAATTAAATCAACTATGGGAAACTCTTCCATTTTATCTTGATGAAGATAAACCTTTACATGGTACTAATGTTCCTCATGACTCTGAATTATTTAAACAATTTATCCGTATCCCACAAAACCTTCTTCCTGAAGAATTACAAGGAGATGCAATCAACCATCCACCAAAACGATTCCAAATTCAAACACCTTCAATGTCAAATAAGGTTAATCTTATTGACAAAAAAGAGACAAAGAAATTAATTGCTGAAGAAGATTTAGGAGAAGTATTTGATGAAGATGACGAAGAAGGTGATGATGATTATGATGCAAATAAATTTGAAGATTATGATCAAGAAGATATGAGTGAAGAAAGACATTCAGAAGATTAAGGTAATGAATGTATATTCAATAAATTTGATTGATTGTATTGAAGAAGAATAAAACAAACTAGGTTATTTTTAATAT